TCAGATTATTATTCTTTCATGAACTGATAGCTTCAAGGAAGGCCTAAACAACTTTTCTCTACTTTCCCTCATATAATCAAAAGTAAGCACTATTAACATATTTTTATTTTTATTTTTATGTTGAGATTACAAATAGCAGAATAATTTTATATTCTGCTTTTTATATTTTAATCTACTATTACTAGCTTGGAAACTTCCCAATCACAAATTTTTAAAAAAATATATATTTTATTGATTTTTCACAGAGGGGAAGAGAGAGAGATAGAGAGTTAGAAACATCGATGAGAGAGAAACATTGATCAGCTGCCTCCTGCACACCCCCCCTTGGGGATGTGCCTGCAACCAAGGTACATGCCCTTGACTGGAATTGAAACTGGGACTCTTCAGTCCACAGACTGACTCTCTATCCACTGAGCCAAACCAATTAAGGCCCTAATCACAAATTTTAATGATTTTGTGATATTCCATCAGATGATGTCACATAGCTGTTCTCTCATTCCAGGGATCAAATCATTACCTGATTTGAGTCTACCTGATTTTCAGCTCTGATCTCAGGTAGATACCACCATTCATTTCACATACATGGCACGCTGTAGTAGAGGGACTATGTCAATAAGTTGAAGCTATTTCCTTTTACCATGAAAAAGAGCATTGGGGATTGAAGATAGGCCGATATATATTTCTTGGATTGAGGCTCCCTTTAAAATTGCATCACATTTACTTATTTACTATTTATTTTACTTACTTAGTGTAACACTTCAAAAAAATTAACATTTGCTTATAACTTTTTTGTTTCTACCTTGAGTGTCACTGCTGACTGTGATTTGGCACCCTTCAGACTGAGTTGGCATTTAGGAAAACTGCTTTTCCTTGTCTATCTCATTTGAGTTGCTTAAGCGATTCCTGTTCCTCTTTAAAGGAGGAATGTAGTCAAAATCCTCCCAAAACAAAACAGGTAGGACTTTTATTCTGAGATTGGCTTTACTGCTTGTTAATGAAAATGATTCAGGTAGAGATGGATTATGCTTGCCCTTGCCATTTAGGCCCGGTTCTTCCTTGGCACAGGTGAGCAGCTTGGAAAGACTGCTTTTAATTTATGATGAATAAAGGAGAACACTTTGTATATTTGCAGAAGTGGCTCTGCAACGGATGCTTTGAACCTAATAACTTCAAAGTCCTGACCTGTGCCCAGATAAAGGTTACCTGTGAATACAGGGTGAGACCATCCAAAGAATTACTAAATGGGTTTAACTTAGGAAATACTTTGGTTAACAAATGAGGAGGGGTATTTGATTTCTCTTGGTGATCTGCTTATTTACATGTTAGATTCAGGAATGAAAGGATTAATCCAACCACTGTATGGGCTTCGATTGAATTTAGTATTTCAACTCTGAAAATGATAACTCTATAATTAGATGAAAGGACCCTAAAAAGGTAAAAACACTAAACAGACTAGCTATATAAATAAAAAAAAAATTTTGGGTTTACTTTTCTTCTACATGAGCATGCACCAAATATAGATGTTTTGATGTATCTTATAGCAAGAGGCATATTCTTTTCTAGCTTTGGATCTCAGGGACACTTCATTGTGGGGAAAAAACATTCTTTGGTTTTGTCCAGAGAAGTTGTCAGTAGATCTGAATGCTCACGATTTCTAGGATTTCAGTGCTTTTTGCATCATTTTGGAACCAAAGCCCTCGGACGATAAGGTACTTGGTGCCTGCTTTCTGGGTTTATCATGATGTCCTTTGGCAGTTAAGCTTGTAAGATCAATATAGAATGAAACAGAACACACATATGTATAGTAACTTGATGAACCGGACTGGCTGTCTGGCCTGCAAGACTTGATTGTAACCTGTTGGAATGTAAAAACTGTATCAGTCAGAACTGGTTAGATTAGCTCTGAGGAAGCATAGGAGATGGAGAGTCAAGTGAAAGTTGGCAGTCTTGGCCTCTGTAATGGCAGCTTCTCACAGTATGACAACAAATGACATTTTTATGACCACCTCAGTCCTGTGTACGTCTTAGTTATCCTGAGATCTCTCTCAGTGTTGGTATCGAAAAAGAACAGGGAAATTGCCAATAAGTACATGAAAAGTTTTCCACATCACAGGTCACTAGGGAAATGCATATCAAAACCATAATGAGCCCTGGCTGGGGTGGCTCAGTTGGATGAGTGTCATACCATGCACTGAGAGGGCACCAATTTGATGCCCAGTCAGGGCACTTGGCTGGGTTGCAGGCTTGATCCCCAGGATGGGTCTTATGGAAGGTAGCCAATTGATATTTCCCTCTCCCTCTCCCTCTCCCTCTCCCTCTCCCTCTCCCTCTCCCTCTCCCTCTCCCTCTCCCTCTCCCTCTCCCTCTCCCTCTCCTCTTCCTCTCCCTCTTCCTCTCCCTCTCCCTCTCCCTCTCCCTCTCCCTCTCTCTCTCCCTCTCCATCTCCCTCTCCATCTCTCTCTCTCTCTCTCTTTCAAATCAATAAAAACATTTTAAAAACACACAATGAAATGTCATCTCACACCTGTTAGAAGAGCTAGCATAAAAAAGAGAAGAGATAACAAGTGTTTGTGAGGATGTGGAGAAAAGGGGATTCTTGGGCACCATTGATAGGATTATAAATTGGTGCAGCCATATGATCCAGCAATTCTCTTTCTGGGTACATAGATAAAGGTAACAAAATCTCTATCTCAAGATAGGCATTGATTTTTTTTAAAAAGATCTGCAACGGATGCTTTGAACCTAATAACTTCAAAGTCCCGACCTGTGCCCAGATAACCTGGCCACTGGCCCCTGATTGGACCCTTCACCCCATTTGGGAGCAGGCCCTGGCCACTGGCCCTGATTGGACCCTCCACCCCATTTGGGAGCAGGGCCTGCCAGCCCACTACCCACAGCCCCTCCCCTTGGCTGGCCATACCTCCAACTGGTCCCCCACCCCAATTTGGGGCAGGGCTGGCCAGCCCACAGCCCCTCCCCATGGCCAGCCCTGCCCTCAATTGGTCTCCACCCCTTACAAGCTTAACTGGCCTCTTTATTGAAGCATTGTTTATAATAGCCAAGATGTGAAAGCAACCTATATGCCCACTGACAGATTAATGGGTAAAGTAAATCTGATAGCCCTAGATTGGCTCAGTGGGTAGAATGTCCGCCCTTAGACTGAAGGTCCCGAGGTTCAATTTTGGTCAAGGGTTCAATCCCTAGCCCCTCTTGAGGCCGGAGTGGGAGGCAACCAATTGATGTGTCTCTCTCATATTGATGTTTCTCTCTCTCTGTTCCCCCTCTCCCCTCCACCCTCTCTAAAAGTCAGTGGAAAAATACCCTTGGGTGAGGATTAACAACTACAAGAAAAGTGAATGTGATATTTATACACTCATACAATGGAATATTATTAAACCATAAATAAGAAAATCTTGCAATTTGCAACAGTATGATGGATCTTGAGGGTATTATGCTAAGTGAAATAAGTCAGACAATAAAAGACAAATACATATGATCTCACTTGTATGTGGATATGAGAAACCCAAATTCATAGCAACAGAGAACAGATTGTTGGTTGCCAGAGGTGGGGGGTGGAGGGATGGGGGAAATGGGTAAAGATAGTCCAGAGGAGGTACAGTCATAAAGTAAATAAGTTCTGAGGAAAGGGAAAAAAAGAAAAAATAATAAGTTCTGAGGATGTAATATGCAGTGTGGTGACAATAATATATGTTTATTTGAAAGTTGCTAAGAGAGCATCTTAAAATTCTCATTAAAAATTGTAATTGTGTGAGGTGATGAATATTTACTAAACTTACTGTAGTAATCAGTTTGCAATTTATATGTATATGTCAATTATATCTCAATAAAAATGGGGGTGGAGAAAGAAATAAAACAGGGGCCAAAACCGGTTTGGCTCAGTGGATAGAGCGTCGGCTTGGGGACTGAAGGGTTCCGGGTTCGATTCCGGTCAAGGGCATGTACCTTGGTTGCGGGCACATCCCCAGTAGGGGGTGTGCAAGAGGCAGCTGATCGATGACTCTCTCTCATTGATGTTTCTAACTCTCTATCTCTCTCCCTTCCTCTCTGTACAAAATCAATAAAATATATTAAAAAAAAAAGAAAAAAGAAATAAAACAGGGGAGTCTGGTGACTCAAATGTTTAATGGCGTAAGATTAAGAAAGTGCTGTGTCTCTCAGTTTGAATAAATTCCCCACCCCAGATCAGGCCCTCTCCACCCTGATTAGGGGCAGGGCCTGCCAGCCAGCAGCCTGTGGCTCCTCCTCCTGGCCGGCCCCACCCTCCGATCTACCCTCCCCCCCCACCCCCACACACACATAAATCAGGGATGGGGCTGGCCACCTAACCACCCACAGCCCCTCCCCCTGGCCACTGGCCCCTGATTGGACCCTCCACCCCATTCGGGAGCAGGGCCCGCCAGCCCACTACCCACAGCCCCTCCCCTTGGCTGGCCCTACCCCCAACTGGTCCCCCACCCCAATCAGGGGCAGGGCCCACTGGCCAATCACTTTTGGCCCCTTCCTCCCTCCTTCCCCTCTGCTTTGATGGGGCCAGGCTGTGCACGAATTCATGCACTGGGCCTCTAGTGGTAATATAAGGTCTTTTTTCCCCACTGCTTTTTTGTTTGGCACAAGATTTCTGGTTTTGAGCAAATGTCCACATCTCTTTATATATTGTCCATGGTCCAGAAAAGGATGGGTCATACTCCCAGAATCACAGGTTATCGGCTACTTATGTGAGGATTGAATGATAGTGGGTGAAGATCACCTTGCAAAGCATAATACGCCATGTAAATGTGAGTTGTTCCTTTTTTTAAATCTTGGTGTTCTTTACATCTTCAATCCTCTCAGAATTGGGTCTTATGACCAAGTAAAAAAATAATAGAGGAGAGAATGATAGGATATGGGACAGAAGATTTCTTGCCTTAGACTTTCTTTGACATGATCAAAATGAGGTACAGCAAGTTAACTAACCATTGGTATAATTGATACTCTTGCAGGAGGGAGCACTGGCAGTTGTTGGGTAATTTGAAGACTACCGTAGAGGGTTTGGTGTCAGCCAACAGCCCCAACGTTTGGTCCAAGTATGGTGGCCTGGAACGGCTTTGCAGGGACATGCAGAGCATCCTCTATCACGGGCTCATCCATGACAAGGTACGGAGACCTTCTTTTGTGTCAAATTGGGTGAATTAGTTGTTGGAAAGAATCAGTTGCATTAAGTTGTTGGCGGGGAAAAGATGATGGCCACTAGTCTGTGAGCCCTTGAAGGAAGGACTGTACAATATGATGATGAGGAATAGGACAAGGACAGTCACTGGATTATCATAGGACACATCTGAGAAATATTTATTGAATATTGTCATTTTATAGAATGTCCTATGAATATTTTTTTATAGACAACTGGTTGATACTTATGAGTAATAGTTGTAGTTATAGATTGCTTTTTAAAATATAAACTTTTTGTCAAAACCGATTTGGCTCAGTGGATAGAGCGTCGGCCTGTGGACTCAAGGGTCCCAAGTTCGATTCTGGTCAAGGGCATGTTCATTGGTTGTGGGCACATCCCCGGTGGGGGGTGTGCAGGAGGCAGCTGGTTGATGTATCTCTCTCATCAATGTTTCTAGCTCTCTATCCCTCTCCCTTCTTCTCTATGAAAAAACAATAAAATATATATTTTTAAGAATAAATAAAATATAAACTTTTTGAGGTTGAGTTTATTTTCCATAATATCCTAAAACATTCTAATAAGATTTGAGTATTAAAAATGAGTGGAAGCTAATATTTAATAGTTTTTGCTTGGCTTTGGCAATTACTTCAGTTGCAGTGTTTTAAGTAAGGTTTGCTCTGGATAAATTTGTCAAGTGACTCATTGGTCTGGTATCCTACTTTTTGAGTATCAAATCTTGTCCTGGCCAGTGTGGCTCAGTTGGTTGGGTATCCTCCCACGCACCGAAAGGTTGCCTGTTTGATTCCTGGTCAGGGTGCATGCCTGTGTTGCAGGCTCTACCCCTAACAGGGGGCGTGCAGAAGGCAGCCAAGAGCTGTTTTGCTTTCATGTGAATGTTTCCCTCTCTCCCTTTCCCTTCCTTTCTTTGTGTAAATAAAATTTTAAAAATCTTTATTTTTTAATTTTTTATTTTTTTAATATATTTTATTTATTTTTTTTTTGCTCTCCTCCACCAGGTTCCCATCCCACCCTCTGCCCTTCCCCCAACCCCCATTGTCCTCATCCATAGGTGCACAGTTTATGTTCAGTCTCTTCCCACATCCCCCTCTCCCCTTTTCCCCAAGAATCGTCAGTTCACTCCCCTTCCATACCTATATTCTATTAAATTCATCAGTTAATATTGTTCATCAGATTTTTTTTTTAATTTCCTTGGTTTTTAGATTCACTTATTGATAGTTACGTATTTGTTGTTCATACTTTTTATCTTTATTTATTTTCTCTTCCGAAAGAATCCCCATCAGCAATTCATATAATTCTGGTTTGGTGGTGGTGAACTCCTTTAGCTTTTTTTTATTAGTGAATCTCTTTATCAGACCTTCGATTCTGAGTGATAGCTTTGCTGGGTAGATTATCTTTGGCTATAGGTTCTTACTATTCATCACCTTGAATATTTTTTGCCATTCTCGTCTGGCCTGCATGGTTTCTGTTGAGAAATCAGCTGACAATCGTATAGGTGCTCCTTTATAGGTAACTACTTGCTTTTCTCTTGCTGCTTTTAATATTCTCTCTTTGTCTTTTGCTCTTGGAATTTTAATTATGATTTGTCTTGGTGTGGTCCTCTTTGGATTCCTTTTGTTTTGAGTTCTGTGCGCTTCCTGGACTTGTAAGTCTAATTCTTTCACCAGGTGGGGGAAGTTTTCTGTCACTATTTCTTTCAGTATGTTTTCGATATCTGGCTCTCTCTCATCTTCTGGGAACCCCCATAATTCTGATGTTGGTTCGCTTGAAGTTGTCCCAGAGGTTTCTTACATTATCTTCAATTTTCTGGATTCTTTTGTCTTCTTGCTTCTGCAGAGGAGTGTCTTCTGGCTCTTTATGTTCCAAATCTTTGACTTGATTCTTGTGATCTTCCATTCTGTTTTTAGGACTCTGTATAATATTTTTTATTTCAGACAATGTATTCTTTATTTCTTGTTGATTCCTTATCATTTCTCGTTGATTCCTTATTAATTCTAGTTGATCCCTTTTCATATCCTCATAGGTCTTATTGACCTTTTCTAGGAAATTCTTGAAAAACCTTATAAGCGTAGATTTGAACTCTATATCCAGTCACTTTTTGTCCTCAATTTCTTTCGTTTGTGATTTATTTCTTTGTCACATTTTCGAAGTTTCCCTGATGGGGCGGAGTTTCAGGGTGGAGCCTACAGCCTTGGCTTCCGTCATCCCCGCCCTATGCGGCTCCTGAGTCTCAGGGTCCTTCAGTACTGGCTGCAAGCACCTCTGAGAGAAAGGTGCCCTTAATTTTCGCCTGCTACCAAACAGTCTAGGCTCTCCCCCAATGAGCCCGGAACTGGGGTTCAGTTCAGTTGGAAGTGGGGTTGGAGGTGTCATTCAGAGCAGTCTGGAGCCCCAGTCTCCTTCCCGCCAGGGCAATCCCACGGCACAGCCAACCGTCCCTTCTCTGCGCGCACTATGCGCCCCTCCGGGACCTCCTTTCGCCACTCCCCCAGGGTTCTGCCTTACAGCCCAGCTCCCTATGGATGAGCCTGGGTCCCTGGGGTCTGGCCTAGAACTGGGGTTCAGAGCAGTCAGAACTGGGGCCCAGCACAGTTGGAGCTTTTATCTCCTTCCCGCTAGGCAATCAGCCCGCCCCTTCTCTTTGGCTCCGTCCTCTCCGTGCGCGCGCTGTGTGTCTCCGTACCTTAGGCTTTTACAGCTCCTCCGCGCTTCCTTCTGGTTTTCTCCTTGCTTCTTGTTGTAGAATTTCCACTCAGTTGACTTTCCTGTAGTACTGGGTAATGTCCATTTTATATTTTAGTTGTATTTTATTGAAATTGTTGTGTGCGGCTGCGGCTAGGTGTTTACCTGTGCAGCCATCTTGGATTCTCCAAAAAAATCTTTATAAAAATAAAAATCAGCCGAAACTGGTTTGGCTCAGTGGATAGAGCGTTGGCCTGCTGACTGAAGGGTCCCAGGTTTGATTCCGGTCTAGGGCATGTACCTTGGTTGCGGCTACATCCCCAGTAGGGGCTGTGCAAGAGGCAGCTGATCGATGATTCTCTCTCATCAATGTTTCTAACTCTCTATCCCTCTCTCTTCCTCTCTGTAAAAAAATCAATAAAATATATATTAAAATGCCAAAAAAATAAAAATAAAAATAAAACCTCACAAATATATGCATAATTATGTATTCCCAAATACACATGCTCTTTTCTATCAGAGCCCAATATTTTTCCCTGGAACTCTTTCCCCTGAGCCATTGTTAGCCTTTTTTTTTTTTTTTTTTTTTTTTTAATCAGAATTTATTCTCAACTACGTAGCAGTCACATTGGAAAAGATCTAATCAGTGATTTGGTATTAAAGTATTTATAGTTGATAGGATTTACTTTGCTACCCTCCCTTCTAAAAGTCTGGGTATATTATCTCTAACAATATCTTTAAACCAATGTTCCTATTGGATTTTTAGTGTTAAAAATATTTTTTATTGATTTCAAAGAGGAAGGGAGAGGGGGGAGAGAGAAACATCAATGATGAGAGGGAATCATTGATAGGCTTCTGCATGCCCCCTACTGGGGATCAAGCTCACAATCCAGGCATGTGCCCTTGTCTGGAATCAAACCGGGGAGGGACCCTTCAGTATGCAGGCTGATTCCCTATCCACTGAGCCAAACCAGCTAGGGCCCTATTGGATTTTTTGGAGTTAGTAGGTAAGTTGGCTTAAGTTAGATTTTTTTTTTTAATTCAAAGTAAGTTCTGAAAATGAGGCCTTCTCTTTTAATTAGTTTTAAAGATGTGAAATTTTTTTTATCCTTCAAAGAATTGTTCTTTTTAAAAATATATATATTTTATTGATTTTTTACAGAGAGGAAGGGAGAGAGATAGAGAGTTAGAAACATCAGTGAAAGAGACACATCGATCAGCTGCCTCCTGTACACCTCCTACTGGGGATGTGCCTGCAACCAAGATACATGCCCTTGACCAGAATCGAACTTGGGACCTCTCAGTCCGTAGGCTGACGCTCTATCCACTGAGCCAAACCAGTTACGGCAAGAATTGTTCTTAATGGTCATCATTATTAAAACACTATTTTAGGAATTTGGAGGCTAAATTGTATAGCAACTTGACAAAAGAATTAGTCAGAAACTAATCCAGACGCATTGCTCAGGTCCTTGGGGGGAAAAAATGACATCATAGTTATAATTATAGACTTTTGAGTCAGATTTCTCATATTTTAATTTTAGCTTTACCACTATGTGGTAAGTTATATAACTCCTTGTACCTCTGTTTCCTCATTTGTAAAATGATGAGATAACACTGGTACCCACCTCATAGGATTGCTGTAAGAATGTACACTGGTACCCACCTCATAGGATTGCTGTAAGAATGAGAATATATGAAAAGATTTAGAAAATATGAGAAATTATTAGTCTTAACTATTAGGTAATAAAATATCTTTTGAGCCTTGCTTTTGTCATCTGTAAAAATTAGGATAATGGTATTTATATAATAATATTTGATGGAAAGATTAAATGTAAAAGCATTCAAATTTGCCTACTGAAGTTCATGGCACAGAGGAAGTAATTAATAAATGTTTCTTTTTTCTTTTTTTTCTTTTTTTAAACTTTCAAGTTAACTTTCATGTAGTCCTATGGCAAAAATAATTAGAATTTACAAAACAAATAAGTTAATCCACTACAATCTGCCTTCTTCCCTTAGCACTGATGATCTTGGTACTAAAATTTAAGTAAGAATGACATCCATGTTATCAAATCCAATTAACATATTTCTCCTTTGAGGGCTGTCTTATGTTCTTCACTATTGACCACCATCAGACCTTGACTTTTATGGCATTATTATTTTATCATGTTATGGAGATACTTCTGTGACCACTCCTTCTTAGTTGCTTTCCCTGGAATCTCTTCCTCTTGATTTTAGCTTTTAATGGGGTTCTGTCTTATGTCCTTATCTCTTCTTTCTTTGTTCATTT